GCCGAGCAGGGAGCCCGATGTGGGACTCGATCCCAGGACTCCAGGATCATGACCTGAGCCGAAGGCAGTTGCTTAACCAACTGAGCCTCCCAGGCGCCCCTACTTCCTCCTTCTTGAAATAACCTCTCTGAGGACACTCCCTGGCAGAACCAAGCCCCGTACCGAGAGGAGCCCAGCCTGGGACATGTGCAGCCTCCCCGGTCAGCATCGAATGCCGGCTCCGTGAGCACGCGTCCTGTGGGCTCCGGTGGGCTCCGGCTTACCTGGGACGGCAGCCCGGCCAGAGGACCTCCCCGGAGCCCAGTCAACTCACAGGACCAGCAGATAAACAAATGTCCTCAGAGCCTTCACCAGAACAAGGTTAATGATTTGGTGGGGATAGACCCCTCACCAAAAGGGGTAAAGCATGAACAGGTGTGTGTGTGTGTGTGTGTGTGTGCGCGCGCGCGGGGAACAGAGACAGTGTTTAGAAGCTCCTCCTCGAGGAAGCTGACCAACCATGAAAGGAGGAGAGGGTGGGGACCTGTTCGTTGCCCCTCACTACTTAACAGTTTCCTTCCTCCTGGTCCCGGGCCATGAACCCACCCCCGAAAGCCGGCTCGCAGCCTCCGCAGGGGTCTACCAGAGACGCCGAGGGTGATGGAAGCAGCCCTTGCGGCCGGAGACTTGGCCAGGGTCCCATCCCCAGCCCTGCCACTTAAACTCCTGGGCCTCAGTCTCCACCTCTCAAAAGTGGGGCTAATGATACTTGACCTGCCAATGTTTCAGGGCTATGGCTGGAAATAAACAAAATGAAGGATCTAGAAACAGTCAGCGGAAAGGCCAATGCAAGGGATTATTATTATGACTATCCAGAGGGAGGAGGAGGTGGGGGGCCAGGAGCTCACAGCCTCTCTCAGTGGACACAGCACAGTTACATGAAAGCAGCTCAGGACGATCAAGTTTGCCCACAGGGCTTTGGATCTCAGCACCAACTTGAAGAGACTCCCCCCCGCCCCCCGCCAGTGTGGCGCAGTGTCCTGGGAGCCTGCCCAGCCTTCGGCCCCCGTGAGGGCTCCTCAGATCTGCGGGTACATTGAGGGCTGCTTCTGTGACCAAAGATGCTGGCCATTTCCAGAGCATCTGCCGGAGGACCTGGCACCCTCTCTGTTTATCACAATCTCATTTTCCACCCCCAACATCTGCAGCTGAAAATCAGTGCTGCCTCCGGGATGGGGGTAGCGAGCACCAGAAAATGAGGCTGAAAACATCATAAAGTGTAAAAAAAAAAATCATGAGCACCTTTATCCCACTGACCTGCAGGCAGGGTCCTGAGCTGAGGTGTGTACAACCTGGGAGAGCAGGGGAAAGGGGGCGTGAGACCCATAAAGGAGGAAAATAAATAAAATCGCACATCGTGCTAGGAGAGGGTCCACACAGCCAACCAATAGTGGCCGAGCAGGCTCTCCGGATGGAGGCGGCTTTCGGGCTTTCCAGTGGTTTCCATGGCACCCGTGCCTTCATAATCCTCACCCAAACAGCTCTCCTTCAGCTCACCTTGTGTCACCGAGCCAGAGGAGAAAATGGAGTAAGTGTGACAAATATGCTGATAGCGAGAAAGTCGAGCGTGTGTGTGCGTTCGTTTGTGTGTGTGTGTGTGTGTGTGTGCAGGGAGCTCGGGCAGAGCCAGGCTTTTCCTCCAGAATAAGTGACCTTGGTCATTGCCTGGGGGCTCCGAAGACATTTCTGGGAGCCAGACCAACCAAACTCTGATCTGGAGAAATCCATGGACTCAGATCCCAGCTGGGTTTGGAGGGGAAGATGCCCGGACCCCCTTGCCGTGGATGGTCAGGTCCACAGCAGGTGGCTCATGAGTGCGGAACCCAGAGCCTTTCTCAGGTTCAGAACCCCTAGGAGAAGGAGGTGTGCAAACCCCCCACCCCCCAAGAGTCTAACCACCCTCCATCTGGTGATGTTTTCTCTTTCATTCGTTCAACGACTGAGCGCCTTTGTGGGCCAGGCACAGGACTGGGCTGTGGGCAGAATGTCCGCCAACCAGCCACGCACCACCTCTCCCTCGCTGCACTGGGCTCAGCAGACAGGCAGGTTTGCCACGAATTCTCGCCCCCTGTGGCATCCTCCACTTGCCTGCCATTCAGATCAGACCCCCGGCAGCAGCAAGCTGCTGAAAAGGATTCCAGGTGCTCCATTCTCCCTTTCATCTGGTTCTCTCACCCTTTTTTGTCTTCTTTTTAAAAAATGCTCTTTACTGGTGGGAAAGTTAGCATGAAAAAGACAGAAAACGAGGCTCAGGAAGGATGTCTGATGTGCAGCGATGTGTTAACCTGCCAGAGGCTCTTCCTCTCCAAGCCCAGCAGCTGGGAGACGGGCCTCCCCTCTCCCCTCCTGCCAGCAGAGGGGGGCGATGGGTCAGGGTGGGCATCTGGCCCCATGGCACCAGGTGGGCTCAGGACCGTTGGAGACCAGCATCTGCTGCTAGGTTCCTGTGGGCATCTGATGTATCACCTTAGGGCCCCGGAGAGTCAAAAGCTCCATGAGGTGTGTTCCTTCTCTCCCCAGGGACTCAAGCCGCCACTGTCCCCGCCTTTCCACCTGGCACCTGGTCACGTGCCCCACCGCCCTCTGAAAGAGCCAGCTGGGCACCTGCCATGGACTCCCCCGGGACCCCCAACTGGGCAGCCCTCTGGACTGACCCTCCTGGCACCCTCACTAACCCACACGAAAACACCAGGACCCTGGTCTACAAAGGCGCCAGCTACAGAAGAGCCACCCCAGGTCCCGCCTTCCCGGAGAGGGGGCTGGCTGCCCACCATGCAAGGCAGATGTCTGGGCCAAAGTGCCCACAAGGTGAGGGGGCTAATGGAGTTTGTTTCCCCAGAAACAATGGAGGGGGTGGTACAGGCAAGCCTTGAGGCGCACGAGAGAGGCTGGATGGCCCCATGCCTGGGCTCAAATCACATCGAGTCAGCTTCCCACTTACTAACCATGGGACCCGGCCTGACCCCGTTTTCCTGCGCATCCACGGCGGGGGTTGGGGGGGCGGACAGCAGCACCGTCTTCCTGAATCATGCAGAGGTCCCATAGGTAAGGAACTTAGAACAGTGCCTGGCACACGGAAGGTACAGAGCAGAGACCTGGGGACAGAGGCACAGGCCAGAGCTCTGTGTTCAGCCAGGCCCTGAACGAGCCTGCCCCCCATGCCAGGCAGGGTAATCCCCACCCCCACTGGCAGAACACAAGGTTGGAAGATGGGTATTTTCCCCCACAGTCAGATCCAGGGAGGCCGAACCTCCCAGGGAGGCCCCTGTCCCCAGAGCCCCGGGCCCCCACCACTGGGACTGAAGAACCGAGTGGGCTGTGGGAACGGGGCTGAGCTGCTGCCTCAGGGTCACCCCACTCTGCGCAATTCCAGGAGGTGCCACGTACATCCGTGGGACACAGCGGCCTCTTCCACGCGGAGGGCAAGCCCTATAGGAGATAGGCCAAGGCCATTTGTCCACTGGAGGCCATGTAGAGGCCCGGAGGGTGAGCCCAAGAAGGGAGAGAGGCGAACGGGGGAGCCCACTTCACCAGCAGGGCCCAGCCTCGGGGGACATGGGTTTTCCCTCCTCCTGGAGCAGGGTGGCCTGGCTCTGTCCTTGAGACTGAAAAGGGACTGGGAGAAACAGCTTGCCGTACTCCCGGTCCACCCCGCCTCTAAGACTGGTGACTCTCGGGGCCACGGGCTCCCTGCGCCCCAACCCCCCACGGCCAGGGCAGGAGCTGCGGGCACCCTGAGTGACGATGTGGTTTCCTCCCTGTCTCTGTCCCTTGGTGACTTCCGCTCAGCAGCAGCACTGGGGGGAGGGCAGCCAGTCCTCACGAAGCCTCCCTGCACTGAGAGAAGAACAACAAGGGGACAGCTGGGGGACAGCTGGGGGACGAGGCCATGCCCCTTCCCATGGCGGGGGCAACAGGCGGGGAAATCACAGGGAGAGAACAGTGACTGGAGACGCGGCTACAGGGTGTGTGCGAGTGTACGTGTGTGCGTGATGCAGATGGGAGTGTCCGGGTGCGCGCACACGCACGGGTGTGTGTAAATGCAGGGTGCTCAAGCGAGTGGGAGTGCGGACGTGTGCAAATGAGCATGCGTTTGTGTCTGGGCACACGCGTGTGTGTGCGAGGGGGCGGAGGGAGGGAAGAGGAGAGCAGAGCAGAGCAGAAAGACAGCCATAGCAAGAAAGCCCCACTGCCCAGCAGAGCAGCCAACGGGAAGCCCCAGGAAGTAGGAGCTGCGCTCTCGCTGCTGGCTCCTTCTCAGAACCCAGCACGCCGCAGGTGCACGGCGACTTGCTGGTGCCCGCCCAACGGATCATGCAGGCCATAGGTGCCTCCCGGTCCAGGATGTGTTCCCCCCACTTTCCCCTAAGTCCACTTCCCCCTCACCTTCAGCAGTCAGCCCCTCCAGGCCAGCACGCCCCACCCCCAGGCCCCCGAGGGAGCCTTCTCTCAATACGGGCTCGCTTCTCCTCACCCAGGAACAAGGGGATTTCCTGCCTGTTTCTTCAGGCTGGGTGATGTAAGCTGTTTTTCTAGTGTTCAGCCAAAGAACCCTCCAGGCCTTCATTTGTCTAAATGCAGAGGCCTTTGGGGACGAGCTTAGCTGGCTTACTTCCGCCCAGCATCTTGTAGCCGTCCAGGCTAGTGCTGCCTCTAGACCGCTGGGGTGCAAGAAACAGGGCCCTGCAAAAGGAGTGAGGGGCCAGAGTCTTCCTCAGACCAGATGCACCTGTGGACGTGGCCAGTGTTTCCCGCTGCGTCAGCTGGGGTTGGAACTGAGCCCAGTCGCACCTGAGGGTGTGAGAGACTCCAGGGCACCCAGTCCCGGCCCTGCTCTGGGATCTGCACCCTGAGTGTGCAATGGCCTGGACACGTCTAGAGGTGAGTAGACAGCTGATACCACCACAGGAGGCCCACGGCAGGCCCTTCTCCTCTGGGCTCTCCAAGGGTCCTGGCAGCCCGCTCCAGGCACTTTCACCCTCAAGATCAGGAAGTGCTCCTTGGGTGAGCCTCCTGAGTCAGAAGCCTGGCTGTGCCCTAGCAGACCCACCTGGCCTATCTAGGGCCCCCAGATGTGGTCTGGGAATCATGGCATGCCCAATTCAGGGTCTTGTGAAGACCAAATGCATCCCTCACCCAGGCCCTGGGCCCTGGCCTGGAGCAGAACCCCTTCCTTCCTAATCTAGACCCCAAGACAGGCCCGGTTCTCCACCCCACACCTCTTCCCTCACCTAGCTCCAGACTCTGGGCACTCGAGGCCTGCAGACCCCGGTCTCTCTATCTCTGTCTCTCCCACCGTCTCTTCCCTCCGCAGGGATCTCTTGCCCTAGCCTTCAGGAAGTCTTGGAGACAGTCCCCTCTCCTGGATACTTCTCATGTTCCCAAGTCTGGCTTCTCCTCACCCTGGGAGCCTACATCATGCCCCAGACGTGCACGACCACGGCACCGGTCGCAGTGGCCTGGGATTACCCCATCACCTGCCTCGCAGGGTGTGTAATCTCAGAGAGGAAGACAGCCTGGAGCGGAGCGGGTTGCGCACCCATTGCCCAGCACACAGTACATGTCCATGACGCACACATGGAACGAGCAGGTCTCCCCTGCGCAGAGCCGAACGCCACCCTGGAGCCAGTGACCCCAGCAGATGGGACCGAGGTGGGACTGGGAGCCTCTTCCAAAGGGCTGCCGGGAGAGCGGCCCGTCTCCCAGCCCTGCCCCCACCCTCCAGCTCCTGTCCCCCGCCATCCCGCCCCGTCCCTGCCACCTCCTGACGCAGACTCATCAGCTGTTGCCATGGAGACCAGCCCGCAATGGGCTCGTGCCCTCCCGCTGCACAGGGCGGGCAGAGCAACGGTGGCAGCCGGCTGTGCACAGAGAACACCTGCCCAGCGAGGCGGGCGCCCAGCTCCGGACGCAGACAAGCCGGGGTTCGGGGCCAGCACCCGCCCACCCGCACTGCCCTTCCCCTAGCGGGGTGACCTCGGGCAAGTCACTTCACCTCCCTGAGACATGCAGGATTTGAGGGATGATATGAACCACGCCAGGCAAGGGTCATCAACGTGTCATTTTGGGGTGCCAGCCTCGACATTAGCTTTCTTTTTCCAGACTTTCTGTCCCTTTGGCCTTTGTGCCCAATTCCCCCCAACTCAGGTGGGTCAGGAAGGAGAGACTCCAGTCCCTGCTGGAAGTAAAAGACTGTGTGTGACACGTGAAGACTAAGAGGAAGCCTCCAGGGCCACTAATGTGGCCTGGCCCTGGGACCACAAAGGTGGGTGCCACGCTGGCCTCTTGCCGTAGAATGAGCAAACCCACTTGGGGCAGTGACCCCCGCCCTCGAAGGACGTCAGTTGGCCTCAAATTTGCCTGACAGCCTCCATATCTCCCTAGAGTAGGGTTGGGGCAGGAGGTCTCCTGTCTCCTGGTCTCCTTATTGCTTTACGTGGTCCCTACTTCTGCGGACAGCTGAAGATCCCTGAGCCCGGAGGGGACCGGGAGACAGGAACGTGTGGAGATGCCATAAGTGGCCCGTGGCACCGAGCTGGCTCTCCCCAGCAGCCCAGGCCAGCTCGGATCCCACGTGGAGCTGAGCACCTGCATCTCAGGCAGGCCTGCGTGAGCCCTGATACAAAATGTGTCCCCCACCTCCCTTTCCAGGATGTCAATCCAGCCCCACTGCTGGGCTTTTGTCACTGCTGGGAACGGTCCCCAAAGTTGGGGACAGGAAGTGGGCCTTTCTGTTAAATGATGGATGGACAAATGGATGGATGAATGGATGTCTACAAGAACTGGAAGAAAGTAGCCACTAAGGGAGTCCTTCTCAGAGCGAAGGCCCACAGAAACCATGGGAGCTGGTGGGGACCGGGCAGGCTCTGGGAGCCAGGATTCCGGGGCCTGGATCTCTGAACGCTTCTCCGGGGGGTGGGGGTAGAGAAGGAGGGGACCCACAGCTCTGCTCCTTAGTCTCTCCCCCCTGGAACTCTCCACACCCTGAAAGGCAGAACTACGTCTCTCACCGCCAGGCAGGAATCCCCACCCCAGACTGACCTGCCACCATGCCCCCAGCCCCGTGCCCACCCGCCCTACCCATGGACAGAACAGACCCAGAATGGCGTCCTGGCCTTGCTGCCCAGCCAACCGAGGCGGAATGAAGGAAGGAAGGTTACAAACAGATTGCCCCACATGGGCCTCCCTGTGAACAATTTCGGTAATACCTTAACACAAAAACAGAGGGTCAGAGGGCCTTTTGTGTGCTTCATCAATCTGGAAAACACCAAACAGAAAGCTGGAGGAAATTTAGAGAAAAAGTGACTAAACATAGTTTTTGGTGAGGATATAAAAATGAATAATGCCCTAACCTCTTGGAAGGCCCGATAGTTCTCGCAGAGCTGTACTTGGGCCCACCGTGAGCTGTGAGGGGCGTCCCACTACCCCACTTCACAGAGCAGGACTCCGAGGCTCGAGCAGTTGCAACTTGCCTGTACATAGGACGCGTGAAAAGCAATGCTAGGGTGTCCACTGGAGAACTGTGAGCCTGATTGAGTAATTCTTACAGAGCTCAGTGTCTTCGCCATTTTACGTGAGGCTGCTGGGTCTGTCACACCATGAAAAACAACATCGGGGGCACTCCACAGGACCGACGGGTTGCACTTGCTGTTTGCTTACAGCTCCCCAAAAGCAGACAATCTTGGAGGCTCATGTTTTAATTCTCTTCAAGGCACTTGCAGACACTCACTGGAAAAGAAAAGTTGCGGGAATGAAAGTGGCCGTTCCTCATTACACCAGCATGTGCGGCTCGGGAAGAACCCACAGACCAGGTGAGACTTAGCTGATATGCGGAAGGTGTTCACAGCCGCAAAACAGGCGTCTCCCAGCTTGTGTCTCCCAGGACAAAGAGGAGGGACCCTGGACTGCTCTCCTGACCTCTCTCTCTTCAGATGTGAGCACGTGAAGAGCTAGGTGGGGTCTCACATGTCATCCAGATCTGGTATTTGCAGAAAGGGAGGAAAGAGAAAGACTTTGCTGGTCACCCTTAGATCCCCCATGGGGCCTGAGGTTCGGCGGCTGCACAGTTGGGGAAATAGTTGCTCAGGACCCCGATAGGTAACACAGATGATAGGAGGAGTGTAGCTCTGGGTGAGCAATGGGGCATCCTGCTTGCTCAGATTCCCCTTTCCATCCTTTCCACCCCAAACTCCAAAGACCACCCCCAGGATTTCTCTGGTCTTCCCACAACTTGAAAGGCATGACTCTATTATCCTGTAGACCCCTCGAGGCTTGGGACTATGTAGGGACACCGTCTGTCTGGGACATCTCCAGCACCTAGCAGCCTTCCTAACCAATGGCAGCCACTTGGTGTTTGCTGAGTGAATGAATGACCCATGGATGAGTCAGCTATTGCTATGATACCGTGTAACAGACAGTATTGTCTGTGTAACAGACAGTATTGTCTGTGACAAGCCCCCAAATCTCAGTGACTCACAACCGAAAGCACTGAACTTTTTTCTTATCCATGGGCACAAGCCAGCAGGGGCACTTCCAGGACCAAGCATCTCCTTTGGGGACCAGCAGCTACAGGGAGCCCATTCTGCTCATGGTGAAGAGGAGAAACACAAGGCCCAGTCACACATGCACATCTGAAGACACTGCCTGGGTCACACCCACAAACACTCCACGTGTGGCCACAGCCAGCATCAATGGGCTGGGGCAAGCTGTGCACCCACTCCAGCGGGGGGCACCGCAAAGCCACCTAGCCAAAGACGCAGATGTGAAATTCTACATAGAGAGGGAAAGAAGAATTTTGGAACCAAGCGTCCGAGCTGCCACAAAGCAGAGGATGGAAACAATGGCAGAGCACTGCGTCCTTTGCAGGCTCGTTCAGACAGGATGTGTGGAAATTGCTCCGAGAAGTACAAAGCTCTAGTTAAATGCTATAACACAGCGATGGCATGATGAAATATCACCTCCACTGGACAGCACAGTCACCATAAAGAGACCTCATTCTTGGAGAGAGGAATGGGGTGCTGGACAGAGGGACCCACCTCACAGCGAGACTGGAGCTGCATGTGGCTTGTTAACGCGGCTCTAACAAGCCCCCTGAGCCAGCAGTCCTCAGAGGGTGACCGTGGGCAGGGCCGGGGCGTGGGGCTGGCATTGCAAAAGCTGTTAAAATAAAGAAATATGGGAGTATTGTCAACCCTCCCAGCCTCGTGTCAGCGTATCCCCGGATTTGGGATAAGTGTGACGGGCCCCAGATTCGGAAGGTTCCTGCCTCCCCCTTCCAAGTGCACACACGCACAAGCACACGCAGACACTGCCCCCCTGCTGGCCCCCACCCAAGAGGCTCATTTCAAAGATGTGGGTACAAATTGCTGACCTCAGAGCCGCTTTGGGGAGGTGGCTGGAGACCGGGACAGGCTCAGGGAGACAGGCTCCCTCGGGTCCCAGTGAGGCTCCCAGGGAGAGAAGGAAGGTCCTACCAGCCCTGCTTGTTTTCAAAAGTTTGTGCGTTTTCTAGTTTCCTTTTTCTTTTTTCCTTTCCAAAGCTCCGCTCACCCAAGAGAATAATGTAAACATTTAGGATGGCATTTTAATAGTCCCAGGGGCATTGATCATTATTATGAATTTGAAAATAGCTGAGTTATGAATGTTTGACAGTACAATCACGCGGTGCTCTATACGTTGTAAAATCTTAAACGCCCAGCGGTGCTATTATTCTCCGAGCGCTTTCTCCTCTGTTGTCTCAAAGGGGAGGAGTTACTCTCCCAGTTAGGGTGATTGGAAGACAGGGGTCGGGAAGGGTCAGACCACTTGCCAACCGGGCGATGCCGCCGGAAGGGATCGGAACCCCGGGAGCCTTCTCTTCTCCCTGCTAGAATTCCCCCAGAGACTTCACCCGCAGCTCCTCGAACCACCTTCACCTCTCCTTGCCACCTGAGACTCCAGATCCCTGCTTCACTCCCCAGATCCTGCCCTGGCCCCACCTGGGCCGCCTCCAGGGGTCTCGTGCCACCAATTAGCTCTTCTCTCCTGCAGCCTTTCCCCTGTGTGGTACTGTCCTGCCTCTGTGCATAGATGTGTTCATGTCTCTCCCCCAGACAGCCTGCCCCCCGTACAGATCGCCCTCCTGCAAACACACAGATGCTCCCCTGCCCCCTCCCACGCTCCCCCGAAAGCAGAGGCAGGTGGGCGCTTTAGCAGGTTACAGGCAGTGGGGGCTGAAGGGGCCTATGCGGTGCAGCCTGGTCCACACCCACCATGTGGGTGACATAAGGACATGCTATGGGTCACCCTGGAGACCAAATACGGAGGCTGGACATCTGAGGCACCCAACTGGCCCGGGGTTCGGGTGCATGCGCCGCCATCCATGCTTCCTGGGTGGGTGCCCTGCCTGGGCTGGCCTTGGGCCTGGGCCTCGTGCTGGGACCACCTCCCCCAGTGCCACTTCTCACTTCCCTGCCTTCTGCAGTCGCCGGCTCTTCCTCTCCACTTCCCCAGCAGAGTGGGAATCAGCCTCCAGATCCAAGGAAAGCGTTTCAGGGCAGACTAACCTCCTGCTCCCAGCCCAGGAGGAGGGTGTGCTGGGAGGGGAAGCACCAATAGTCATCAAGCCCCCATCCTGTACCAGGTGCCAAGATGGGTAGTCTGCACACGCTGTCGTCTCCCTGTCCTTGAACCCTAGGGGGCGGGGCTCGTCGTTCCCATTTTGCAGATGAGAAAACTGAGGCTCAGAGGGAGCAAGGAGTTGGCTCAAGGCTCCTGGGTGTCTCAGCCAGCTCGGGCCGCACTAACAAAATAGCCCGGGTCGGGGGCCTTGAACACAGACATGTACCTCCCACAGCCCCGGAGGCCGGAAGCCCAAGATCGGGGTGCGGGCAGATTGGGTTCCTGGTGGGGGCTTTCTCCCCGGCTCGCAGACCAGGGCCTTCTTGCTGTGCCTTCCCGTGGCAGGAGAGAGTCTGGCGTCTCTTCTCTTCTTATGAGGGCACAAATTCCATCATGAGGGATCCAGCCTCATGACGTCATCCAAACCCCATGACCTCCCAAAGGCCCCACCTCCAAACACCACATTGGAGGTTAGGGCTTCAATGTAGGAATCTGGGGTGGCACACAATTCAGTTCATAGCACTCAGCTAGTAAGAGGTGGCACCAAGATCCAAACTCGGGTCTGCCGGAGTGGCTCCCGGCTGGCTCAGTCGGTAGAGTATGCAACTCTTGATCTCGGGGTCAGGAGCTCAAGCCCCATGTTGGGTGTGGAGATGACCTAAAAATAAATAAACCTCAGGGGCTCCTGGGTGGCGCAGTCGGTGAGGCGTCCGACTCTTGGTTTCAGCTCAGGTCATGATCTCAGGGTTGTGGGATCGAGCCCCACGTCAGGCTCTGCGCTGGGTGTGGAGCCTGCTCGGGATTCTCCCTCTCCCTCTGCCCCTCCCCCTCTAAAAACTAAATAAATAAGTAAACTTCAAACTCAGGTCTTCCAGAGTCAACACAGAAGCTCCTGTGCCTCTTCAGTCTGCCTCTCGTTAGGAGACAAGCAACACCCCCCACCACGGGGTTATAGAGAAACTCACCGCAAAGGGCCCTTGGGTCGGGGGCTCAGGAGGGCAGGCCTGGGGACCATGGCTGAGGACCCCCTTCCTGCCCTGCCTACACAGGCTGGCCAGGGCAGTCCCTTCCTGATGAGCCGTTTTCTCAAGCAACTCCTAATGACATGCTTGCTCTCAGGAACGTCCACTGGGGGGGCCATCTTCCAAGGTCGTTTGTCCAGTCCCTGCTAGGAGCCCTCTGGGCTACTGGACTTCCCACAAAGGGGCTCTGAGCACTCAGTCCAGGGCTCCTTCCCCGCGCACAACCCTGACAGTCCAAGGGACAGCTCCCTGGTCTCCAGGATGGTGGAAAATTCCAGACCAGTCATCTGACCAAGGCTAGCGTGGGCTGGCTGTCCTCACAGAAGCCACATCGCTGTCACCACGACCCATGCCACTTGGCTTCTTCCCCGAGTGTGGGGCTTGGGGGTCAAAGGTGGGAAGGGGCAGGAGAGCGACAAGAACGGTGTGCTGTGGTGGGTTGACATGTGGTGGGTTGAAGCCCCCAAAAGGTTATGGGCAAGTTCTAACCCCAAGTACCTGTGAATGTGAACTTATCTGGGAATAGGGTCTTTGCAGATGGAATTAGTTAAGATGAGGTCATAAGGATTGGGCCCTAAATCCAACGACCAGTGTCATGAGAGGGAAATTCAGACGCAGACACACTCGCGGGAAAAGTTCAAGTGACAACAGAGGCAGAGATTGGGTTGCTGTGTCTGCAGCCAAGGAACAGCCAGGCCGGCCAGCCACCAGCAGAAGCCAGGAGAGAGGTGTGGGGCAGTCTCTACCCTAGAGCCTCAGAGGGAGCCAACTTTGCCAACACCTCGGTTTCGGGGCTTCTGGCCTCCACGACCGTGAGGGAGTCAACATCTGCTGTTTTCAGCTTCCCCAGTCTTCAGGGATTTGTGCGAGCAGCCCCAGCAATCCTCGGAAAGACACGGGGTTGGGGTCGTTGTCAGGGAGTCCTCGCGGGAACACCAGGCAATATTGTGATTTATAATAAAAAATAGATTGGGTTTTCATCCCTGTTTCTGGCACAGAGCTCCTAAAACCCTGGGAATTTCCTAAGTGGTGAGAACAATAAAGATCTCTTTTGTTATGTTGACTCTGTGGCTGAGGTTGGGGGCTGTCTGCCTCATGATAGTGATAGAGGGTTGGAACTCTCAGTCCCACCCTCTGATCTCCAGGAGGGGAGAGGGGCTGGAGGGTCAGGCAATCACCATGATATAATCAGGTCCATGATATAACCCATCATGCCTTCATAAGGAAGCCTCCATAGAAGCCCAAGGGACCAGGTTCCGAGAGCTTCCAGGTTGACGGACACGTGGAGATTTGGGAGGGGCGGCAAGCCTGGAGAGCCCTTCCCCCTCCTCCACATATTGCCTTGTGCGTCTCTTCCATCTGGCTGGTCTGAGTTACACCATGAGATACTGAGGAAAAGGGTTTCCCGAGTTCTGGGAGCCACTCGGGCAAATTAGTCAAACCCAAGGAGGGAGTCGTTGGAACCTCCAAACTATAGCTGGTCATTCGATTGACCTCTAAAGGGGCGCGGGGCGGTCTGGTGGGACTGATTCCCCGGGGATCTGACATCATCTCCAGGCAGATGGCGTCAAAGCTGAGTCTCACTGTAGGACCCTAAGCTGGTGTCAGGGAATGACTTGGTGGTATGAGGGGGAAAGCCACATGCACGTTGGAATTGGGTCCCAAAACACTTTTATACCAACACTGGGTCAACTACCACCCAGCAGAGAAGGCAGGACTTGAGGGCCGAGGGAGCCCGGCCCGGCGCAGCCCTTACTGGGGGCCGGCACTTCATGCCCTCAGTCAGGGGT